AAGTGTCAGATAAAATTATGGTGAGGTGGCCATTTGCAATTCATTTTGAAAGGGTTTTGCAAACCCTGTGTGGATGGTCTTATGTTTTGCAAATCCCCATTTTCATGATTCCACCCCACCAACCCAACTTATGTTTGCACTTCAATTTTCCATCCTACTGCCATCACCATCATTATAACAAATTTAATTTACATTATCTTAAAATAACCGAATTTAAACCCAGAAGAATCCCCAAAAACTCAAACCTTATTGCTAATCATCCCACGATGAATAAGCTTAAATGGCAACATAAACATTTTGACGATTATTAAGAAACGATCATACATCTGTATGAGTATGATGTTTAGATAATTATTCCATTTATACATTTAAGCTCCATAAAATTGTATATTGAAAATGAACCAAAATTAACCTCTGCATAACGATTTCTAAGTCGATTCCTGCTCTACAAATCCCAGAACGCATATTAAAACTTGCTGCTTTTCCCTCCATTTTCATGACGATGGATGTAACGAGGAGGTTGTTTCTCTTGAAAACGCAGAGATCAACTTCTCCTTGGTCAGTTGTTCGGGTCCTTGAGACTTGACCACGAACGTGTGGAAAACCGTATCGTTTCGTGCTGCCATCTTCGATTCCATGACTGTGATCTTCGATTCTTGGAACGTTTGGATAACTTTAGATACAGGGTGTATGTCTAAAGGACAGGTTACCTTCACCAGGACTTCATCCTCACCGGTTTGGACTTCGATCGAGTTGTTGTTATTGGGTCCGTTTCTTTCTGATTCCATCTCCTTGAGCTTCTTCTGAAGATCAGTTATGTACGTGATCGCATCGCCTAATAACGAGGCTTTATCCATCTTTGAAATATTGGGAACCACTGCTCTTAAAGCGTAGAATCTTTGGTTCAGCTTTTCTCTTCTTTGTCGTTCAGCTTCGACATGGTTTAGTGGCTCTTCCCGTCCGTTAGCGGGCTTCCGGCCCCGTTTCCGTGGTCGTTTCTCGTCTGTTATGATGCCGGTGATGGCTTCCCTTTCGTCTCTGCAGGAGGTTTCTTCTGAAATCTTGGATTCGCTGCTAACCGGCCGGGAAGTAATGCCGGAGAAATCGATTTGCAATTGTGGTGTCGGCTTTGGAGGACTGTTGAATTGTGCCCAATTCGAAAACGGGACCCGTGGGTCGTCGGGTTTCCGGACGGTGAGCTTTTCCCGGAACGGCGGCTGGTTTAAATTCGAACTCAGATCCTGGCCGAAAATCTTGGACGCCCTGACGGGTCGATCGGAATGGGAATTGCTGTTTCTTTTGATCACCGGAATTGGTGTGGCTACAGAAGCGGTTATCTGATTCACGGAAAACGAAGATCTGATGGAGTGCAAAAGCTTGGGGTTTTCCGGTAACGACCGAATGGATCCGACCTCGACGACGCCGACGTCGGTGGGAACCAAAACGATGGTCTGAATGCCGGCAGATTTAGCAAGATAAGATCGGAAACAGTAATCGGATGATGAATTCAATGCATCGGAAATCCAGACGTGATGACCGGATGTAAAACACCTTCCCGGACCTCCGTCGCCTTTTCGGAATGAGAAATACATGGAGATCAAGAAGAACATTTCGGTATCAGTAACCCTATCCAATCCGAAAGCATAATTATCTTCATCTAATCCACCAAACAAAAGATGGATTTTCTGAAGAACCCTTTTCTTAATTCTCTGTTGATTCTCATCTTCCAATCGAAAACTAAGAATTCGAGCGATTTCGAATTCTTCACCTTCTTTTGGCTCTCTACAAGATCCATCCCCCCATCCAAGAACCAAATCCCCTGTTTTTGACTGCGAGACTTGCCAAAAAATTGCGTAATTCCAACTAAAATTGGCTGAATTCGGGTGGTCCACAAGATCTGAGAGCTTGTGTTGCAGATTCTCATCATTTCCCAATGAAGTTAAAGAGCATTCATTAGAAACGGAGCTTGAAATCAAGTAATCAAATGCTCTGGACCCTAGAACAGCAGCAACAATGGCTTTATCTTCATCATTCCAACTCTCACCTCCCATATTCACCTCAGTTTTCATATCCAAAACTTACCAAATCTAAAACCCACACAAAACTATTCAAATTCTATGTATCTCAACGACAAAACCCACAAATTTCAACTAAACAATTGAAAAAATATCCAAAATTGACCCATTTCATCAGCAGCAGGTGAAATCAGTGCAACTTTCACATACCCAATTGACGATACCTCTCAATTTCAGGAATCTTTCAAATTCTCAATCAATAACCCAAAACCCCCCTGCACAAAGAATTAAATGATAAGCCCGTACCACTCAAACGACACGCCGTTGTTTCCCTATTTGAAAACCCAAAAACAATTCTTGCTCTTTTGGTAGCAAAGGTGTGGATATTTTAGAGAAGGAGACAAGTTTCTTGTGAGAGAGAGAGAGAGGTAATTGCTTGGGACTGATTTGTGCTTCTCCCTGATCTAAACTGCGCGTGTATAAACCATAACACGTCGTTCAAAGGGGGTTGAAGAAATTAACCATGGTTAAGTTATAATATAATTAACACCTTTCCCTATTTTTATAAAATATCCCGCATTAAATCCCTAATATATTAGGGCTGTTTGGTTTAAAGTATTTTAATCAGATTAAAAATAAAAAAACTATTTGATTTAGTTCATTTCTGTAAAATTTCAAATTTTTATTTCAGGTTAAATTCAGAGTAATAATAAATTTATTCTTGTTTTCATTTTTTAGTCCCTAGTCTGAATCAAACGGCTCGTAAAAGTTAGTGTGCTGAGATTATTTTTGTTAAAATAAAAGATTTTGGGTTCAATTCAGCCCCCTTACTAGCCTCAGCTACTGAGTGAGCAAAAATATATAGCCTCAGCAAAAAAAAAAAAAAATATATATATATATATATATTAATGTATGTATATGTGGGGAAAAATGAAAAGAGTGGGGGGAGACATGTAATGGTGTGAAGGTTTGTTTGATGAGATTGAAAAGCATGATATTTAGGAGTATTAGTTTGGTATCAATTATTTGGACCAAACTCGTATAACATGCAACTTGTGCTTTTCTCATGCCAAAATAGTGACTCCCAATTATTAATTACCAACTCTTTCATACTTTTATTTATTCTTTTAACGTCTCGTAAAATTTTACCATAAACTTTTTAACCAATCGTCCAATCCCGTTGCTTCTTATTTAACCCGGATCGAATTAAATCAAAACAGATTATTTTTATTTCATTTATAATATATTTTTAGAATATAATATATATAGGTTTAAAGTTTTGAAGTACCTCTTAATTGAGTAGAGTCTAAGGAAGAGCAAAAGACGTTGGTCCCATTTCTCACAACCGATATTCCAATCTTTAGAATTTATAGACGTAATTTTTATTTACTTTTTTGCTTTGAAAACTTTTATGTTTTTGATTTAAGATTATAATATATAAATAATGTGAAAAAGGGTAGTAAAGTAAATGTATTGAAGAAAGTGGGTAAGGCGTTTTATGTAAGGCACGTGGTGGTGGGACGTGTGACGGTTGAGTCAATCGACACGTGACGACAACGTGAACGCCGTGTATGTTTGAAACCCCAACGTGAAAAAGGCCTTCCGCGTTCACATTTTTCTTTTTAATCATTAACACCTTATATTTTATTTTCCTTTTTTATATTTTTATCTTTCTTTTTCACTGCAACCTTGATTTCTTCCCCAGTTTTTATTATTTTATTTCAATAAATTATATAAAAAAGTAATTTATTTTAATTTAATTATTATTTTAATTAAAATATTTTTAAACATTAAGTATTTGAATAATCGATTGAGAGATTAACTCTTTCTTTTAATAAACCATAATACATAAAAATTAATTTTAGATTAGAATATTCATGTCAGTAAATGATACTGAGTTGGATATCATATCATTCGCCACATTAGTATAGTAACCGGTTAATGCTTCAACCGTTTACCTGGATATTTAAATGTTTAAAACTTTACATCTTAGGTATCAAAATGAAAAATTTTTAAATACGTTATCCAAAATAATAATCAAGTTAAAGTACGTTATTTTTTCATGTAATTTATTATTTTTAAATTTTATAATATTATAATCTTGATCATTAATAGATATCTTAATTAATTGTTAGTTTTATATATATGGTAAAGTTTGAAATTATATCATAAAACATTTTCGACATGTTTATCCAACTCATTTTTTTCATTGATGTTTATCCATGTTTATAATATGTATCTATATTATATTATAAAATATTTGATAAAAAATTTTAAAAATTATTTTTTATGTATAAAATATTGTTTATTAATGTATATTATTTAAAATTTAAGATCACAAGTAAATTATGCGTAAATAAAATTTATTAAAGCTTCATTTTTTTTAATTTGTGTAACTAACTATAAATAAACATAATCAAATACGAGATAAACATCTCATTTTAAAAATTAAACTTATTAATACAGAAATATGTATACAAATCTATAAGGAAAAATAAAACATAATTAAGAAAATTATTTTATAATAATTAATTTTTATATTTTTTATATTATTTTTAATTTATATGTTTTATAGAGTTATTAAAAAGAAGATAAAATGGTTAAGGAACACTAAAAAAAACAAACAAAAAGAATGTATACAAGAATCCAAAACCTGTGTTCTTATTCAAGCACTTTGATTCTTATTCAAGTACTTGACTTTTTAATAAGAACTTTTAACTGGACATGAATCTATGTCTCACAGTGGAGGTTCTTATAAAAACTCCAACAAGAACCTCTACTATGGATATGGGTGCTCAAAATACCGACCAACCTGATCAATCCAACTGGAAAATACTCAAAATAAATTCAACCCAATGTAACCCGACACGAGTTGATACAAATTAGTCAAATGACATCTATTGGGTTGGAATTGGGTTAGGGTCATTTAAAACCCAGCTCAACCCGATGTCTTGCTATATTATAGGTTTAATAGGATTTATTAAGTCATTGATTAACATATATACACTAAATCAATCCGTAATTAGCTATATATTCAAAATACATTACAACTTTAACCCTAATTTTACTCTCTTATTTCCATAAAGCTTTAACTTTCTTTTTTGAGTTTGTTAGTTTTTTTTTTTTTTTTTTTGTTATAATTTTAATTTAACTTGGTTTAAAAAATAAACACTTAGTTAGATTGTAAATTGATATACCAAAGTTTCAACCCGGCCAACCTAACTTAACTCGTACAGTTTGGATTGAGTTGAGATTTTTCAAACCACAAATATTAGATTGAGTTATTCAAATACTTTCAATCCGACTTACACATCCTATATTGTGGATGCTCTTAACATTTGGAAAATGTTAACGAATGAAATATTAGCTCTAATTATTAACTTATATCGTTGTAATTTCAACAATTAAAATAATGTCGATCTCAATTCATTCATCAATCGCTTTTCTTCATTTTTATTGTTGCTTTCTTGTTATTTTCATGAGAATAATAGAATCTTGTTTTGAGGTAGTATCCATCATTTTCTCTAATCTATACGTGTTTAATATATATGTTGCGTGGTTTTATTTGAGGACAAATTGAAATGTCCATGTCGATGGATAATACTTCCTCCCGTGTTCATATTTTTATTTATATTCATGATGAACTTATTCATATCTAAGCGAGATCCCGTCATGATCAATTGAATTTCGCAAATAGTTTTTTTAGGAGTATAAAATACACACCCACTAAACTTTGATCCCTGCTCTTGAATGTTAGAAAATATAAAACATCAACCAAAAACCTGAATAAGTTTCTCGAAATCGTCCAAAAACCCAAAAAATTTCAAAAAATCAATCAAAAAACTTAAATGAAAAAGTCATTCGAAATCAACAAAGAAATTCTCTCAAGACAGTGGGATGGAAGAAATAATAAGGGGCTGTTTGGCAGTTGTTCAATGGTTTGGTGTAGAATGATTAAGAGGATCTCATGATATAGTGCAAAACGAAATATAATTGTTTAGTTATTGTTTACAATGAAATTATGACGCTTAATGGTTAAGGAAGGCCCATGATACAAAATCATTTAGAGAGTTTTAAAATCATTAAGAGACAGACTTTTTTTGTCAAACGAGATTCATCTCTTAATGAAACTATTAAGAAGTGAACAAACAACCCCTAAACTTAATATATCTGAAGTGGTCGTACTAGACACCATTTCTTCTAACACCAAAAACTTGAAAATTAAGCATCAAAATTTACATGGAAGAATAAAAAAAATAATTAATTTAGATTAATATGAAAAATAATGAATTTAAATTAATATAAAAAACAAACTTGTTGGCTCTATTCCGCATTTAATATATGGATATTTCCAAACGTCGTCACGTGTTTGACATGCATCCGTATGTTACTTGTGATCCATATCATCCACGTTATTTACTACTATAAAATATAAATCAATAATACCTTATTTAATTATTAGGGACTGTTTGACAGTTGCAAAATGATTTGATACAAAATAATTAAATGATCAAAATGATTAAGAGCCTCTCTGATATAGTGAGAAATAAAATATTATTGTTTGGTAATTGTTTACAATGAAATTAGGGCGCTTAATGGTTAAGGGAGACTCAAAATACAAAATCATTCAGATGATTTTAAAACCATTAAGAGACAGACTATTTTTTTTGTCAAACAAAATTTATCTCTTAACAATTCAGAGACTGCCTCTTAATTGAACTATTAAGAGGTAAAGAAACAACCCCTTATTCTCACCATTTTTTTTTCTTTTCTAAAAAACATATTATGGCCAAAAAAATGACATAACCAGGGTTTTTTTTGTCGGTGGATGCTCGGGTGAGTTTGTGTGTACCCTGATCAATCATAGAGGTTTTGGAGAACGGTTAGAAAAATTTCCAATGACCTTACAAGATTTGAACCTGTAACCTCTGAGAAAAATCACTCCATACTCGACTCTTTTATAGAGAAGTTGAGTAATAGAAAAGTTGTTCTACAAATGTTCTTAACTTTCTTGTTTGCTCGTCTAGTTTTGGCTAACTTAGTACGACAACTATATATGGTTGCACGCTAGCTCGTTTTCACAACCCGCCAAGAATGAGAAAATTACGAATGGGTTTTAATCAACATTTATTTCTGAATTATCTTTAAACAAATTAGAACAGTACATTTTGCAAGTACCTAATTCATGCATCTATCGCTTTGCTTCATTTTCCCACGGTTATTTTTTCTTGAAAAATAAAACAGAACTATTTACTTCCTATTT